CCCCACCAGGGCCAGCAGCCACCGCTGCCCGCTTGCCGGCCACCCGGCGCCTCTCGCCCTGGGCGGGGAAAGGCTGGAGCGATACCCTCCCCCGGGCTGTGCCCCACCATCCCGGCAACAAGACCATTTTTTGGGGTTCGCTCACCAGCCAGCCTGCCGAGCCCGCCGTTGCCCAGCCCGGCATCCTCCTCGATCTCCTCCAGCTCCTCCATGTCCAGCCCGAGCTATGGATGAGAGGGAGAAAGCAACAGGCTGGGGACCCCCAGAGCACCCAGCCCCACGGAGGGGAGGCACCGCTGGGTGCTGCCCTGCACCCACCGCTGTAAGGGACTAAACATAAAAATAATAATTTAAAAAACCAACAAATACAAAGGCTGCTGAAGGTCTTGTAGACAGAGGGTTTGTCTCAAATATTTCGGTGGTGAAAGGCTGCAATGATATTCCTTGCTGATAAGAAGTGAGGAATTCAAAAGGAGCAAAATCTTGTTCTTCTCCCTTGCTCCCCCTTACTTCTAGGGTGCCAGCAAGTTTAGCCAGAATTCCCAAGCTAATTAAGGAGTCACCCCTCTTTGCATCCTATGCTAATTAAGGAGACATCTCCTACGCTAATTGAAGAAAGTTGGGCAGAGACCTGAGAAATTCTGCCTACAAAGGGAAGGTTGCGCATCCGCCATCCAATCATCCCTCACCCCAAGACGTTGACGGTCATCGTTGGACCTTGGGTGGTGAAAATTCTTCCCAATTACATTTTTTTTTCTCTCTTCTCCTTTTTTCCTTTCTCTTCGAGCATCTCTTGACCTCTTCCTGTCTTTATTTTTCTTGGCTCATAAGGGTAACTCTATAACAAGTTCCTTTTTCTCTTTTCAGTATGGATAAGTAATTCCAAATTTTTTTTCTTTTTAGTGATAATAAGTGATCATCACATTGTTAATAGCTATCACTTAACAGCGATCGTTAATAATAACAGCTATTGTTAATAACTGATCGTTGTCTTTACCAGGTCATTTATCTTTTTTATAATCCAGCTACATTTTACATTTTACATCCAACATTTCCCTTTTTCCCTAAAAGATTATCATACACACTGAAGTTCTAAGCCAGTATGTGATTATTTGGTGTCATTTCACCTTAATTTGCCCC